AAAAAGTATCTTCTGCATTCAAGTCCAGCATCTTTACCACCCCAGCCTCGACTCACAAAGACCCGGCCCAGCATAGAGTCTGACGTCACTAGGACAGTTTACGTTCCCAGCATTACCCACAAACCACTGCGCCGGCATGACGGGGGACTCCCCAGGTACTTCCTGTCTGTAGCATGGCGTACATCACGTGAGACACACTTAGCTTGATACGGCCCAGGGACGTGCTGGGAACAACAGCCTGCCCTAAGTGATATCTATGTGTTTTTAACCAAAACCAACTGGGTGTGGAAGTGTCTATTGTTTGGACGCTCCGGAAGACGAAGCTTTTTCGTTTCTTTCTTTTTCTTTTTTTCCGTTACTTTTTTTCGTTTCAGGTTTTTCGATTTTTTGTTTCGTTTCTTTTCTTGTTTCTTTTTCGGTTTTTTTTTCGTTTCTTTTTTGTTTTCTTTTTAAAGTGCTTTTTGTTTGATGTCTGAACCGTTTTATTCGTTATTTATCTGATCTATGTACTTACTCATGCAGGCAGTTGAGCCACCTCGTTCTCTGATATTCTACTTTCTCATACTGTCTCTTCTTGCGATGTTAAAAGTTTTTTCTTTGTAAGCATCTCATTTAGCAGGCGCTGATTTTACTATGGTGACTTTTGTCCATGTTTGGGCTTTGTGGCACAGTGTTGGTGTTTAGAGATGCTGTTAATGAGTTGGTGCTTTGTTTCCTCTCTGATGTTGAGATATGAAGGTAATGGTGCCAGTTTGCAAGTCCCAGCTTTGGACCCTTTTAAAAATTCTGGTTTCTATTTCTCTATCTATCAGTCTATCTTTCCGTCATGGGGGAAACACACTTCACGGGTATTTGAACGCTTCTCATCCATCCAGTGCCAGATCTGCGACAGACATCGGCGATCATGTTTCTCCATTCATTCCTTTGCTCTGATGCTCTTTAAAAAAAGTTACTTTTCCCTGATCTTTCCCTGTTACCCGTTTGTTTAGGTCCCCAAAGTAAGTTGTTTTGGGTCAACCCCTGCCTCATTGAACTCTTCTACTTGCTTGACTTTGCTATTGTGTTGTCGACTGTGATGCTATAAGGGTCTGGTGGTTTGCAGATTTTTATCGCCTCACTACGCTCGTGCTGAGAACAATAACATTCATTAATAATTAGTGGTGAGGAGGAAAACCCCCCCACCCAAAATCCCAAAACGGAAACAAAACCAAGGAAAGTCCACAAGAACAACCCTCAAACACACACACACACACACACACACACACACATACACACACATACATACATATACACACATACACACTTACACACTCATACACATACACACAAATGCACACACACAAACACACTCATACACACACACATAAACACACTCACAAAACCCAACAAAACAACACAACTAAAAGTGTCTAAGTCCCACATCCTTACTTCCGTAAGAGTCTTCATGATCCTATTATATTTTTATCTACTTACGGTTTGAAAAGTTGTGTGTTCAGGGATGTACAGTGTAGTTACAGATATTCATATCAATGTCTTCAATTGTTGAGATGCCTCTTCAGATGGTATGAATTCTTCTCTAAAATTCTTTGTAATAATTTATAATGTCTATAATATATCTCGTTTACAGCTCTCTGTTCGTGTTGTGAACTCAACATTATTCAGAGATAATAGCCAAGCGTCTAGTTTTCTAATTACCAGGGTAATTCAAGCTTCAAATAAAACGTAGATAAAGTTTCGTTTCCTCAAAAACTACACAGCACTTGTCTAGTTTAAATCACTCCTATCTATAGAGCTTGCGTTCTTCCAGCAGTCGTATTGCTGTCAAAATATTTTGCAAATCAACAAAATTATCTTAATGTAATAGAAATGAAAATGGGCAACAGGACTTCTAGATAAAGTGGCACATTATTATTTTAAACACAGTTTAATTATTCTTCAATGTTTTATGACAATTTAAGCTCATAAAAATAATAGAATTTAATAACATTTTCCTCTCTCCTTCAAATTCTTTGCTTTTTTTTCTTTTATCTTTAATTTTTTTTGCTTCTGCTTTTCATCTGGGTTTTTTAGGCGCGGAGAATGTCTTTTTGTCTCCTATGACATGTTTTATTTTATTTATTCCTTTGTGACACTTTTCTATTATGTAATTACAAAGTAAACTTGACGACACCCCCGCCAGGGCTGTGCTACTGACTGAAGTTGTCTTTAGGCCATTCCAAAAAGGGGGAATATTAACATGTTCTTATGCACAGAAGAATTAGTAAATGATGTACCAATGTCATACTCATACTGTGCTGGAACTAAATAGGGGGAATTGCTGCTTTTTCATTCCTCATTCTTACTATCGTCATTTTTTCTCTACTTCTTTTGTATGTTTGTCACTCTCTTGTGAACTGCTATTTCCAGGGTGCCTTGATAGTCAAAGCAGACTTTGTACTGTTGAGGCCAGAGAGGTAAGCAGAGTAAGCCTGATTCCCCGTTTGGACTTCTCTGTTGACATCCACCCTTCGGCGCTCACTTAACTTTATGCAGTTGCAGCGCCGTAAAACCTCACTGAAACTATAAAAACAACAACCCAAACAACTTAACGAAAACCCGGACAATGATGAATATTTCGAGTTCATCTCCATCAATAACACAACAAGCTCCTAAGGCAATGAGTGTGTGTGTTATGTGTGGACAGGATTGCCGGGCCTGTAATGAGCTGGAGTGTAAGCACCTAACTGCGCTTGAAACTTGTCTCTCTGATAGAGATCTATAGATAGGATCAAGGGTTTACAGAGTGAAGTTTCGTGTTCTATTGAATTTTACAGCTGTGTAAAGGGGTTGTTAGCGGACTTTAGTTAGTTGTTGTTTATTTTTCCTTTTAAAAAGTTTTTTTCCCCGGGGGGGGGGGGGGGGGGGGGTTAGAAGTGGGGGGGGGGGGGGGGGGGGAGGAGGGTTAGAAGTATTTGCTGAGATTGCAATCTGATTCTCTAAAGCAAAATTTTGGGTTTGATTGCCGTCTGTTCATCCAATCTTGATTGTTGTTGCTTTTAATGATTTGTTTTGCAGTGCTGTATGACGTTGGAATGTTGGGCTGTTCCTATCTAAATCTCTGTTCGGAAAGTGTGTCTGCTCTAGCAGCGACACCCCTAATTTTCCACACAAATGCTGTAAAACTCTAACTGAAACTATAAGTAAACCTTTAGACAAACGCCTCTGTATCCGGCAGTAGAAACCGCAATGCGAGTGACCTTTTACACCCAACATACTGAACAGTTTGGCTTTTTGGTTTTAGTAAAAGTTTTACAGCACTTGCAATACCATAAGGTCATATAAGTGCCGAAGATTAGAGGTGTTTCAAGAGAGTAACAAACACAAAAAAGGAGGGGAGATAAAGACGATAGATTTTTTATAGGATAGAAGGAGCAAACTACATCCGAGCACCTGCAAACCACCCACATCCGTTTGGCCTTAAACAAGAGTTGGGCATGTTGTGCACACAAACCAATGACGCTAAATGTATTTGGATAAAGCCGGAGACCTATGGGGAAATCGATATTGTTTTATGGTAGGTTTATGGTACCGGTGTCAGGGTGAGAGGGGGGGGGGGGGGTGGTACGTGACTACCACAGCTACGGCTTTTTGTTCTTTTGAGCAGTTTTGTGTCAACATTCACACCCGTTCTCTCTCCCCCTCTCTCTCTCTCTCTTTCTCTCTCTCTCTCTCTCTCTCTCTCTCTCTCTCTCTCTCTCTTTCTCTCTGCCTCTCTCTCTGTCTCTTTGTCTCTCACTCTCTCTTTTCCTCTTTCTCTTTGTCTCTCTCTCTCTGTTTCTCTCTCTCTCTCTCTGTGTGTCTCTCTTTCCCTTCTTGCTCTCTCTATATATCTGCCCCTTCTCTCTCTTTCTCTCTTTCTCTTTCTCTCTTTCTCCCCCCCACCCCCCTCTCTCTCTATCTCTCTCTCTCTCTATCTCTCTCTCTCTCTCTCTCTCTCTCTCTCTCTCTCACACACTTCTCAAATGTTTGAGAGAAGATTGATTGCCTGCACCCATTCTCTAACCCCATTAGCTGCCTTAAGAAGTCGTCATAACATACTAGGGACTAATTGCCCCTAGCGGTTGATGTTTTGTTCTAACCACCCCCCCCAACCCCCACCACCAACTTGGTTTTATTTTTCGGTTAGTACTATGGTCATAATGAAATAGTCAGTTACCTCCTCGCTCTCATTGTTTGAATGTTTGTTTGGCTCAAAGTCACGGCGATATGGATACGTTATAGATTTCTCTGGTGGCTGAAACAAGGGGAATTTCCGGGTGTTTTAGCAAAGCTTAGCGTTTTTCTTTGGTACAAGACTTCCAAAATAGCACTCCTTTAACAAAATTTTATTCCCATGTGGGGGTAAATAATTAATTAATTAATTTATCGAGGATCTTCACCTTTCTTCTGCGACGTCGTGTCCCTCTCAGCCCTGATTGGCCCTCTTCTCTTGTGCCGTTATGACACGCATTTTCATAAACACAAACTGTTTTTATCCCTGTAAGATATTTGGGAGTGGTTGGCAGGCGCTCTGGTGGGGTTTACTCCGTTTTATTTTTATCAAACATGTATTGTTCTTCTCTCCTCCTTCATTTCTCATGTTACTCTATAAAAACACGAGCCTTCACAACCAAGAGACAGACTCCCACACACTCAGCACAATAAAAGAAAAGTGTGTGCGGGGCACAGCGAAAACAAGTTTGCTCCGAGGAGTGGTCAGGCGTGTCTCAAACCAGCTCCTCATGGAGACAATTAGCAGGAAGATCCTGAGGTGGACGCTGGAAAGGAGAGATGAGCAGCTATGGACATGTGCCGCCTGCTATGATTCTAACTCTGGATCCAAGTTAATCCAAGTAACAGTGTCATGTAATCTTCAGCACGTATAATAATATGATATAATTGTGTTGCAAGTACAGTATAATTCTTCATAAAACTTTTAAAAGATATTTATTAAGGTGCAATTTTTGCTATTTATTCCCCAGAATGGTTTACGGACACACTGCCGCGACAATGCTGACCCAAGAGCGGTGACCACAAGGGACCAGAAGACACATCTGCGGTGAGAAATTCTAGAAAGTACCACTACACCTCCCTCCCCCCTCTCTCTCTCCTACCTCCTGGACCAGCTCAGGGCGTGATCGGAACATCGTGGACTCACTCTCGCAACATTCCCGTCTGTGACGTAAGCTCCTATCTGGGACGCCGTGAGTGGGTGCTGCTCTGTTGATGCCGCTGTTTCTGCTCACAGTTAGGTGCTGTACACCTTTGCTTTGTTGCACTCCTCTTTCGAAGTCTTCAGGAGAAAAAAAGAAGGAAATTACCGAGAACATGAAGACTCGTGTCCTTGTTTCATGTGTATGAGGTGCAAACAGATAAACCTTTTCAGTCACGTTTTTATTTTCTCTTCTCCAAATTGCTGACATAACTCTGTGCTAGTGGAGAGTGGATGCAACATTCGTTGTATGTGTGTGTTTTTTCTTGTGAAGTCGTGATACGTTCTTGGTGTTGCTGAGAAATCTGGACGGCGTGTCAAACTTGAGGCAAATGGAACCCAAACTCGATCTTTTTCGCGAGTAAAATTACACGTCTACTGCACATGCGCTGTCTCAGATCTCAAGCTGTGACGACGTTGATAGTTCACCTACTAAAGGATCTCATTTTGTGGTTTGAATTGGCTACTTCCTCAGCTCGGGATGGATACCACGTCACGGATATCGCTGCTGCTCTGGATTTTCTTATTCTCAAGGATCTCGGCAGAGGAAACAGAAAACACGTAAGTTGACCGTTAATACCTGGCGCAACTACGCCTTTCTATGATGCAGGGTTGAAATCAAACGTTACCATATTATAGATGGTGAAAAGTAGACTAGATCTAAATCTAGTTGGTGTTGTTTCGAAATCACCAGATGTCAAACTGTAGTGGTTGTACATCAGACCCACATCCCTTGATATAGCTACTGTATTCTTTCGTCAGTCAAACTGACAGATCTGATCCGATTCAGCAGTTCTTTGATTTTGTTCTAATGGTGTTGATAGGGGCGTTACACATATGTCATTTTTCATTTTGATATCGTTCTTTATTACGTCAATTTAGTATAAATCGCCCAGAATTACAGCAAGTTCAGTAAAGCTTTAAACTTAATATCAAACAAACAACAGGAACAACAACAAAAACCGATGACAACAGCAACATTCTAACAGCACTGCTTTGAGCTGTTCAATACCTCCAGCACCAAAGTCCACCCATTATATCCCCGACATATTATTATTTCCCCAACAATATCAACTAACATATTATTACTATTATGTTCCAACTTTTACTATAATAGTATTTCTTATCGTATCTTCTGCCTGCTCCAACAGTATTGCTTTATGTACATGTATCTGTCGCAGTGAGAGAAAAAAAGAGAGGTCATCTGTGTTCGTTTTACGGTGTGCCCACTACGGATGGGATCGGCCAATCGAGCTGATCGCCCGACTCGATCGCCTCAAAAACAAGCGTGTTTGTTTTCAGTTTCAGGCGATCGAGTTGGGCGATCGGCCCGATCCAGCTGTAGTGGGCACCCCGTATTACGCTTTTCTCCGTTGATCCTCTAGTGTCAATGAGTCTGTGACGTAGTTCACTCTATGACATACTTCACTCTGTGTGACGTAATTCACTCTGTGTGACGTAGTTCACTCTGTGTGACGTATGTAGTTCACTCTGTGTGACGTATGCAGTTCACTCTATGATGTAATCAACAGTATTTAAAGATGCTGGATTTCGAATACCTACTCGAATACCAAAATGACACCACACATTCCCAAACGCTCCTATTCCCAGGGTCCCTTTTCTCCCACTCCTCTCCACCCCTCCCTCCCACACATACACACCCAATGGCGGGTTTCCTTGCACCCAGCTTCGGGCGAACTTTCAACACGAGCCGACGACAAAACGGCATCAATATGACGTACATCCGGCCATTATTTTGTGCTTCAGCTTTCGCCTTCAGCTTACCTGTTGCGGAAACAAACCAAAAAATAATATACCCAGAGGTAAAGTGGCCATGCGAGAACTCGTTAACTCGCGAAGCTGCAATTACCCCATGTTTTGTTTTACGCCACTTGATTACCCATCTCCGAAGACACTTGGAATTTTGCCGAGTGCTGATTTATCTCTCCACCCCCCCCCCCAAACGCCAAAAAATCAACAACCACCTTCAAACCCCCTTGTCCTCTCCTTTCATGCCGCGTTTTCAATTTATGTCTTGCATAACATGGAATGTTTTGAAGATTGTACTCCCCCCCCCCACAAACATCCCCGCCCAAAGTCCTAAAGGGTCTAAATGGGGTCTATGCGTAAAAATACGACATACTATTACTAATAGTTCACCAAGAACTGCAGCAAAGACACTGGGAGGAGTTTCAACATCACTAAAGGCAGATTATGTCAAGTAAAAGAAACAACAACATAAGAGACTTCTTGATTGAAACGAACTCATTTTTGAAAACTTTCTCCAACTGTTCTACCAAAGAGTAAAATGATACTAAAATGTCACGTACTTGTATCATGATTCTTATCTTAAAAAATATGTGTCGCTGAAGCAAAATGGAACCATTTTTTCTTTATTTTCGGCTTTCAAAATATAAAGACTTACAGTGCTTCGCTCTAAATACATGCACACTGATTCTCTAAAAGCTTATATTTATTCACCAAAGTTTACATGTCTACGGCTTATTTTCTAAATATGAAGTAAAGTTGTTTACCTGGTCGGATTCTCTTCAGCAACGTTGAGAAGTTGTCGAAGTGAGACTCACCAAGCCACCACAGATGTTGCACAGTTGGGAGGTTCGATCTATAAAATATAATATTATATGAACCCCCTGATCATAACAACAAATAACTCGGATCCTAAGCCTACGGTTTGTCCCAGCTGTATCTCGCTATGCCTCCAGTACGGACTACTTCTTTTTCCCCCACTCGTCTGTCTGTCTGTCTGTCTGTCTGTCTGTCTGTCTGTCTGTCTGTCTGTCTGTCTGTTTCCGTGCACCAAATGACCATCAGCGAGTCAATGTGCCTCAAATAAATCAAACAAACCTATGCCTAACTACAGAGTTAAATGCAACAACAATCCGTTACTGTTTAAATGCCCCTTAAGATGACGGAGGTCGTATGAGTCATAAAAACATTGCTGGTGTAATCGTAGAGATGATTACAGGACTCAGCGATAAGCTCGGGATAAGAGCATACCTCGTAACGTTTTACAAACACCAGTAGCTGTCAGTCACCTGCTACAGACGAGTGCACACGTAGGCATGGGCCGACAAAGTGGGACAATAGATATTTTTCAGGTGAATATTCTGAAACAATGGCCAGGCTAACCA